CCGGCAAAGGCGCACAGGGCTCGCCGACGCACCGCAGTCTGGGTTATGACTCCGTGGCCGGGCCGCACGCCCTACACAGGACGTCGTGGCCACAGTTGTGCAACGAGTGAACGTAAGGCATCGCCCAAGTATTGCACCACCTGCAACGTCAGGTCACCTCTCCCCCCTCCCCCGCACCTTCCCCCCCCCAGTGTGATTGCAACTGAGCTATCGGTTGGCGTCAGGTCATGAGGTGCAAATAAAAGTTGGCAAATTAATGTAATCAACCGCGTGGTATTTGAGAACGGCCCGCGGAAGTTGGCCTTGCAGAACGACTCCCCAGGGCCCCTCCGAGTGACCTTTCATCAACATGCGAGGGGTGCGTCACTTTGCACGCGCGCACTGCTGCGTAGGAAGTGTTCGTCGCACTGCATGCGAAGCGAGCGTCTTAATTCACGGAACAGGATTTGTTCAAAGCGGTCAATTCAATGTGATGGTTTTTTATGTGTGCAGTTAAGGTTGGACGAGGCTGCGACCATAATCTTCACTGCACTTTTGAACCCAGGCAGTGGTGGCTGATTACCTGGATTCAAAGCCAGGATTTCAACGGTGGCGTCTCAGCGTTCTGACCCCTCCGAGTCACCCGGCCCACCTTTGCACTGTTGCTCATGAGGTGTCCCACGCCCGAGTTCCCATCATCAAGCCAAGCGGCCCGTCAGTCTCGATTGGTGGCGCTCATCTCACAGCCACATTCCTATGGCGGGGAGCAGTTTCTTCATAGTCGACTTTCAACACATTTTTGTTGTTTGACTAATTCATATGCACGGTTTTTTTTAGCACTTACCGGTCACTGCCACGAGATGATGATGTTGTTCATAAATGCAGATACGGCTTAAGGCTGCCCGATATCTAGAATGTACGTGTGCATCCATGTGCAGTACTTAAAGTAGGCTGTTGGAGCCGTTTCAATGGGATTTTATCGCATCCACACGGACAGAAAGATCACATTGCCACCAACATGATGCGTGAGTCAGTTAATCTTCTTCTTGGTTCTTTCGGTAAAGTCACGTAGAATGGAAATAATAAAATAATAAAAATAAAACATAATAAAATAATTCTCACGACGTTTCGGCCACAACGCAAGCAGCCGTCCTCAGGTGGAGAACAGATCTGTCGACAGAGTCTGAAAGAGAACAGGTCTGTCTACGTGACTTTACCGAAAGAACCAAGAAGATGAATCCCTGCAGTCACGAAAGCTTTAAATCGAAATTCAGTTAATCTTTATAATTCACAGCCCCTTGGGCAACCAACCCAATGCTGGATGAAGCCCCCCCCGCCGTCCCTGCCCCCACAATCGTGTCAGTCGTATGGGTTGTTTAGACCATACTTCACACCACACTGAGCAGTGTGGTTGTTGTGAAGGTGTGGTGGGAGTTTGGGTGAATAGCCATTTCAAGAGATGACTCACCGCTTGATGACCAGCGGGGGTTCATTGCCCAGTCGAGTCGTTAGCACCACAAATATAGATATATACACACACACACACAGGTATACACACATATACACCACAAATATAGATACACAACAACAACCGCCATTCGCCACTAAGGGGCGGTGACGTCACCACGACGCTTGTGCCAGGCCATGTGCACCTTGAGGCCACGTGAAGTGTCGAACGACCGCTGGCAGGAGGTCACGGGGTAGACCCAGGTGCCACGGGTCGACTGACTGAGATGACCGAGATTACTGGCTGATGCACCACCTGTGCCCCCTACTGTACCAACTTGCTGTGCTTTAGCCACCCGGCGCTCCGCTCGTTGTTGTGAGCGTCGCTCCTCCGCCCTCCGTTGTTGTTGGAGGGCGACTGCCTCCAACTGCCCAGTAGCGTCCTTCACGAGCCTCCTCCACAGATGCACACATATACACACACATATATACACACGCTGTATATAATACTTGTACTTCTGCAGGTGTAGTTGAGTGTCATCCTGTGCGCGTCCTCGAGCAGGAGTCCACGTAATAATGAAATAAGTAACTGGATAGATAAGTATATAAATAAATATATTACGTCGCCCGCACGGAGGGGAAACTTCTGGGCAGGCGAGTAGTCATAACACTGGAATTGCCCTTGTCCAGGAAGTTTACTTTAGGCTCAACAATAGCTGTGGCTACACAAGAGATTCTAGGGAACGGGGTCATCCCTTTGCTTTTTTGACAAGAGGCATTATGCCCATAAGGGCCTTGACAATTGTGTGGCCCCCAAATTGGTGTGGAGTGGGGGGGGGGTATGGAGTGTGATGGGAGGGAGCGGGGTGGGTGTAGAGGGATGGGAGGGGGGGGGGTAGAGAGAGGCTGTTCTGGCAATTGCGTCTTTTATTTTTCCCATGTCAAGTGTGAAGAGTTGAAAAGTTTAAAGTTGAAAAGTTGAGATTCTGCACGAGTCAGTTTTTTTGGTTGAATGCGTTGTTTTTATGGCGCAGGATTTGTTGATTTTTCCATTGTTGGCGTAAGCTCGGGCCGATTACATTTTTTTTCAACCTTCAAAGGAAGCGTAGCAGACACAGAGCCGTCACGGTGCACATTGCAGAGCACAGTTATGACATAAAGTGTTCCAAAGTTCACCTTTCATCGCTCTTCTCGCGGAATCACCTGCGTGACTGATTACTCGGCCGATAACTCGAGACTCGTATCTCTGCCGATGCCGGCAAATTGAACGACACTCGGCAAGAGATAAACGCCGGTTTATTTTTCTTTACCTTTTTTTGCGTCTTTATCGCCAATTCTACGAAGCGTCCATTCCGGATCTCTCACAGGGCAACACAAACCACTGACTGTGTTAGAGAATAGCCCACGGAAGCGGATTTCACAGAGCTAACCTCTGAGATTTCTTCTAGTGACCTCCGGTCTACACAGCAGAGGGCAGCTTTGACCCTGGCACAGAGTGGTTTTTTCTTCACATGACAGTCAAACCGATATTTTCATGCTTCAATAACTGCAGAACTAATTCTAACGCGACGTTTGAATTTCTTTTTATTCCCTGCAGGCGTTGGTGACTGAGCTGACATCGTTAACTCCCTTCACTTGAGAAGCCACCAGATATGCAAGAAAAATAAATACACTTTCATCGCGAGCAGTCTGCCTGGATTTGAACCCAGGCAGTAAAGATGACGGGCGATTCAAGCGTCACTCACTCGCACCGCAGCGGTAATATTTTCAAATGTTACTTGGGGGAAAGTCAAGGATGTGCACTGCTATCAAGGTGGATGTAGGAGGGAGTGTAAATAGGTTGCTGACATATCTCTGTACAGGATAGATATAAACGTGCTGGAGGAGTAGGCTATGTGGCTACCTGGGCTGACGTCCACTCAGAACATATAACATTGACAAATACTTCTAGATTTGACAAACACATGTATTTATTAGTCTTGCATATCTGGTACTCTAACTGTATGACAGTCACGTGTAAAAGCATTCGCTAAATAATTAAAATTTACGAAGGATAATCCTAATATGCTCACCTCTATACATATCAAACCTGTAATTGATGCCCTTTGGGAGTAAATGCATACCGTGTACTAAGATGCATACAGTCTATATATAAATGATATAGTGACCCACTCCACGGAAGGTGAATTACGAGGTTCACTGATGGTATGATACTTTAAGCAATAATTATAATAATGCGGATGCCTGTTTAAACAGCGCCGTTCATTGAAAGGTCACAAAGCGCTGGACGTGGGGAAATTTAAACACGACATAAATTACGAAAAAAAGATCATTAAAAGTGAAAGCCAAGATAAAATGCTAAACTTTGCGGTGCCCTGCCCTGAAAGTGAAACCAAACAATCTCTGCGCCGTAAATTGCATAAGCACCAATGAGAAATGTTATCATCTTTTTACATTAAATTTATATTTTTATAGGTGTCATAAACTTGCCAAATTTCAGTGTTTCTTCCAGCCTTTCTCCGTATTCACAGCAGCCACTGCCTCGGTCATTCGCTATGACGGTAGATGCATCCCATGAGTAATTGTCCGATTTATTTTTTAACAACACCTTAATCTTTACACAATGATCAATCATATACTATTTTTTTGGAATGTAGCTTGAGAAAAATACCAAATTGAACCGTGCAGTTTGAAAAAATGTTGCAAATGTCAATTTAATAATAATGCTTAGGGGATTGCTCTCCAGGAAAAAAGTCAAAAGTCGAAGCGATGTTCTGCTCAAATGAGCATCAAGGCAATGCTCATCACCTGTTTACAGCCCTGACAGAGGCAAGTCTAACCATAGCAAAACCACGTTTGACCCCCCCCCCCCCCCACCACAAAGAGATACTTTACATCCTAGGTAACCTCACCGTGATGAGTGCACGAATCTCAGCGCTTGATCCACTCGCCTTGTTAAGCGATGTTTAAGTTGTGGATAACAGCCGGAATGGCAACAACACATTACTTGAATACGGTAGCGGTGTGGACAGTTCAAAGATTGGCAAGAGAACCATCGGAGGTGGCTATTGGGAGCTCTTAAAATCCACTGGTGCTCCAGATTTCTAGAGCAGAGGGGCTTTAAAAAAAGACATCGTCTTCCCCCTCGCCAATTGTATCGGTGTTAAGTCACAAGGCGAAGACGTATCTAATCGGATCTCTCGCAGAACAACACGACCCATCATGCCGGGGAACGGTCCGCGGAAGCGGATACTGCAGAACTAGTTCTCAATTCCTTCCGGGTGATCCCTCGGCCACAGACGCTCTGCTATCGGAGACGAAATGTTCATCGCATGATGGTCAGGTCCGGGTTTTGAATTCTCAAAGAACCAAATTAAGTGCGAAACCAAAGTTTATTTAATTGGGGGGGGGGGGTGTTGTTTTTTTGCGCAGTCATTGGTGATTGGGCTGAGACCACCGACTGACTGCACACGAGTACCCGGTTCACCAGAGGCGACTGCCTGGAATCGTAATAATGTGACAAAGTCTCGTTGAAGACGAAATACATTTAATGGAAATTACATTACAAACGAGCGTGCATTCAGTACAAAACATTACAAATTTTAGTGCTGTCCAATATAGGAGATTGTCAACAATAATTAAGGCATTTCATATCAACAAAAGATGACCATATAAAGTTAAAATACTAAAGAGCCTAAGCTACGATGGGTAGATTCACATGCAAACAAAATGATATATATTTAACAAAATTATGGTACATTTTGTACATCTCAGGATCACGGAAATGTAATTTACAGTTATAAAAAAAACATGTGTTTATAAAAATGTTTAATGAAGATACATTAGTCGTCACTATGTAGGCAAGCTACAATTGAAGCCAGACGCAACAAATGAGAATATTCTGGCATCGTAGACAACGCGTTTCTAAAAAATTCCATCGCTAATCAACGCAAGCAGGCGTCATTCACACAATCTATTCTACTTGAGCGTATGATGCGAAGTCAAGGTGGGGTGCATAGAAGTAGGGTACAACTATCGATTCGCTGCACTGCTCCCTGCTGCCCACTGCTTAGCCCGACAGACTATACCAACCCACAACACACGGTGGCCACTCATAAATACACCATCGAGGCTCAAACCTGCTTGACCGCTGAGATTTGCGATTGGGCTCATTCCAGATGTTCTGGTCAAAGGGCCGGACTGGCCTGTATCGTGGGGCCTCTGTCACGTATTGGCAAGAATGCAGTTTGTGTCAATATTTAGCATCTCGACCACGATAACTTTGGCCATTTTTCATGCCACAATTGGCCACCTTTGACCTTTTGTCAATCCACATCTGTGAAAAAGAGCTTGACAACTCATCGGATTCCCCCAGTATAAATGCATCTTTTTCCGATTCATATTTGACGCTCAAACCGAGTCAACCCAAACATTCCACCCCCTTGCTCACCCACCGTTCCTTCAACAATCACTTCCCTTACCCCGCCTGTGCCGAATTCAATCAACAAAACAACAAAACTCGAAGGCATCGTCATGATCTCCACCGCCTCTCTCCACTGTGAATATTTCTTGCCATGGTTGGGGAAGTTGAGATTGTGGTCTGGGATGTTCTAAGTCGTAGACCTTTGTTGTGGTAACTTGTTTTTGTTTTAACTTAAAACTTTCGTGACTGCAGGAATTCATATTCTTGGTTCTTTCGGAAAAGTCACGTAGATAGAAAATAATAAATTAAAATCAAAAATAATAAATCAAAAATAATAGTTTTTTACTTTTTTTATTTAAAATGTATTATTTTTACATATTTTTTTTATTTTTTTTTATTTTCTATCTACATAACCTTACCGAAAGAACCAAGAATATTTGTTCGTTTGTTTATGCTTTTAGTTTTGTTTTGTTCATTCATTTTAGTTTTTTCTTGGAAGAAGGTTTTTCATTTGCTTGGTGTGTATGTGTGTCTGTGTGTCTGTTGGGCTTCTTTCGTACCGTGCATAGCCAAGCGCATATATTGGATTATGTCCTTATATATAATTAATGTACAGCGTTGCGGGAAGCTGGGGCGCCACGGATGCGACATGTTAACTACCTCGCCTGGTATGCAGGAGGGCATGGGTTCGATCCCGACCCCGACGCCTGTTGTATATTTGGAGTTTGCGGTGCCTATAAAGCCCGTGGTCGTGGGGATTTTTCTCCAGGTCCTCCGTTTGTTTCCCTCCACAATTAGAAACTTGCGTTTAAAGTATTTGGCTGCAATGAATGTCCGCATGATAAGCCACTTCATTGAGCTGTCATTTTTGGCCGGGGTGCTTCTGAAAAAGAGCTGCACAGCTCAGTGGGCCTCACCTGGTAAAATAAAAATCGTTTAAATATTTTTCGTTAAATGCTGGCATGAATAACGCCATATAAAATGAAGGAACCATTATAATTATCATCATCATCATCTCCAGTCGTCGGCCGAGAAGGCCGAGAACCTGGCGGGCAGATTGTCCACGGGGTAGAGTGACGGCGCCGTCACCAGCGTGGGGGGGCCGTTGGGCAGCTCCCACTCGCAGCGCCGGCACAGCTCCACCACCACGATCCTCAGGATGAGTCGCGCCAGCTCCTTGCCCACGCAGCTGCGCGAGCCGCCTCCGAACGGGATGTAGGTGAAGCGCGACGATGCCGCGTCTCCGCCGGCGTCGCCGCCGCCGGTCATCCAGCGGTCGGGGTCGAAGTCGTTGCGCTTGGGGAAGTTCTCGGCCATGTTGTGCGTCTCCTTGATGCTGTAGATCACGTTCCAGCCCTTGGGGATCTGGTAGCCCTGTTGGAGGAAATGGGGACGCGTCATCACGTCGGTGACCGAGCAACGAGGGCACCGAGGCGCAGAGGTCGCAAACGGGTTTTGATTCTTTACCCGTACCCGGCCGCACCAGGGTCGCAAACGGGTACCCGTACACGGCCGTACCCGTACCCTACCCGTACCCGGCCGGGTACGGGTAGGGTACGGGTATCGGGTACCTGATTGCGACCTCTGGGATGAAGCCATGTTGCAGGCGTGGGTGGGTTGATTCTAGGAACTTGAATTGTGAGAAGAGACAAGACGTTGGGAAATGAGTGACAAACGGTGACTCACCAGTGACTCACGGTCTACCCGTACCTGTACCCGGCTGCACCAGGGTCGCAAACGGGTACCCGTACCCGGTCGGGTACGGGTAGCCGGGTATCGAGTAGGGTACGGGTATCGGGTACCCGGTTGCGACCTCTGCCGAGGCGACCCGCGCGTGCGAGCGCCCGGCTCAAGGGCCAAAGGGAGTCGAAGCGGGGGCCTCGGCAGTGCCAGCGCAGTGTCCCGAGATCGATGTTTTTACATCGATCTCAGGCTATTAACAAACTATTCAAATTTTTTCACCAGGTAAGGCCCACTGAGTTGTGTAGCTCTTTTGTTCAGAAGCGACCCGGCTTATCGCGCGGAAATTTATAACAGCCAAATACTCTGAAAGCGTGACGTTGATTCTAAATGTGGAGGGGAAAACCGGAGGAACTGGAGAAAAATCTACACGCCCACAGGGAGAGAGACGTGCAAACTCCAAATAAACAGGCGTCAGGGTTGGGATTGAACCCACAACCTCCTGGATACCAGTCGAGGGAGAGGGTGCCACGGTGGCTAGGAGATGTTAACTACCTCGCCTGGTATACAGGAGGTCGAGGGTTTGATCCTGACACCAACGCCTGTATATTTGGGGTTTGCATGTTCTTCCCGTGGTCGCCGCATTTAGAGTATTTGGCTGCTATAAATTTCCACGGGATAAGCCACTTCGTTAAGCTATAATTTGTGGCCAGGTCGCTTCTGAAAAAGATCTATATTGCTCAGTGGGCTTTAACTGATAAAATAAAAACAGTTTAGTCTTAAAGAGTTTTTAGTTTACACAATGCCACCGTGAGGCGTTACTTGTCGTCCGTTCTGACGCGTGTGCGTGCGCGTGGGTGCGTGCGAGCGGGTGCGTGCGCGTGGGTGCGTGCGAGCGGGTGCTTGCGAGTGGGTGCTTGCGAGCGGGTGCGTGCGTGCGTGCGAGTGGGTGTGTGCGTGCGAGTGGGTGCGTGCGAGCGGGTGCTTGCGAGTGGGTGCGTGCGTCTCCGGCGCAGGAAAGGGGCTCACGTTGATCTCGAAGGTTTTGAGCGCCACGCGGAAGCCCCCGGCCACGGGCGGGCTCACGCGCAGCGTCTCCTTCACCACGCTCGCCACGAACTTCAGCTCTTCCAGCTCCGCCAGGGAGCTGATGGTGCGCTCCGCGGTGAAGCCCTGCCAGCAAACAGCACAAAGGCCACAAAAACCATCACCCCCGCCGTGAGTAATTCAATTCCTTGGCAGCCAGCTCGACCCCCTCGGTTGAATCAAAGATGAATGGATGTAACCTCGGATTTCCATCAAAAGCCAACACAGCGTTGGCTTCTGATTCCCCCCGAAGGTCAGACATAAATGTCTGTAATCTTATCTTTTGTAGAATTTTTTTCGTAGAAATGTTTTTGTTTCATCTCATTTTATCTTTGCAGAGCGCCTTGGCTCAAGGCACTTTACGCAGATTCAAAGCGGTGAGCAAGAATCGAGCGATTTAGACGGAAAAGGGGCGGGCGAGGGCCGAGGGATGAGCGACCGTAACGGAGGAGCAGGTGGGGGGTCACGAGAGGGCGACAGGGGAGGGACGGGACAGAGTGGAGGAGCGAGGGGAAGGGGACGGTGCACCGAGGGCAGCTCGGTCGCAGGCGCTAGGCGGATCGTTACACCACGAGGTGGGGAACGCTTTGCGCAGGCACTGCTGGGGCGAGGATGGGGGCGAGGGTGAGGGCGAGGGTGGGGGCGAGGGTGGGGGCGAGGGTGGGGGCGAGGGAGGGGGCGAGGGTGGGGGCGAGGGTGGGGGCGAGGGTGGGGGCGAGGGTGGGGGCGAGGGTGGGGGCGAGGGTGGGGGCGAGGGTGAGGGCGAGGGTGGGGGCGAGGGTGGGGGCGAGGGTGGGGGCGAGGGTGAGGGCGAGGGTGGGGGCGAGGGTGGGGGCGAGGGTGGGGGCGAGGGTGGGGGCGAGGGTGGGGGCGAGGGTGGGGGCGAGGGTGGGGGCGAGGGTGGGGGCGAGGGTGGGGCGAGGAAGGGGGCGAGGGTGGGGGCGAGGGTGGGGGCGAGGGAGGGGGCGAGGGAGGGGGCGAGGGAGGGGGCGAGGGAGGGGGCGAGGGAGGGGGCGAGGGAGGGGGCGAGGGAGGGGGCGAGGGTGGGGGCGAGGGTGGGGGCGAGGGTGGGGGCGAGGGTGGGGGCGAGGGTGGGGGCGAGGGTGGGGGCGAGGGAGGGGGCGAGGGTGGGGGCGAGGGTGGGGGCGGCCGCCGAATCGTCGGACACGAAGCCGAGGGCGACGGCTGGCGCATCAAATTTTTGGTGGCGCGGAAATGCACAGCAGCCAAATCCCCTAGACGCGTGACGTTGATTAGAAAATGTGAAGGGAAAAACCGGAGGGCCCGGAGAAATATCCACGCGACCACGGGGAGAGAGAGGGAGAGACACGCAAACCGGCGTCAGGGTCGGGATCGATCCCACGACCTCCTGCGTACCAGGCGAGGGAGCTAACATCCCACAGGCACCTCGGCGGCGTTGTACCTGCTGCTTGAGCTCGCTCCTCAGGCGGGAGCGGACGTGCGGGTGGATCGCGAGGTGCATGACGAGCGACGTGGCCGCGCTGGCCGTCGTCTCGTGTCCCCCGAACAGGAGCTCCGTGGCCGACTCCTTCAGGTCCTGGGGGGAGCGGGGAGCGGGGAGTAGGGAGAGGGGAGTGGTGAGCGGGGAGTGGGGAGTGGTGAGCGGGGAGTGGTGAGCGGGGAGTGGTGAGCGGGGAGCAGGGAGCAGGGAGAGGGGAGTGGTGAGCAGGGAGTGGCGAGCGGTGAGTGGTGAGCGGTGAGTGGTGAGCGGGGAGTGGTGAGCGGTGAGTGGATGAGCGGGGAGTGGTGAGCGGTGAGTGGTGAGCGGGGAGTGGTGAGCGGGGAATGGTGAGCGGTGAGTTGTGAGCGGCGAGTGGTGAGCGGTGAGTTGTGAGCGGGGAGTGGTGAGCGGTGAGTTGTGAGCGGGGAGTTGTGAGCGGGGAGTGGTGAGCGGGGAGTGGTGAGCGGGGAGTGGTGAGCGGGGAGTGGTGAGCGGGGAGTGGTGAGCGGGGAGTGGGGAGCGGGGAGTGGGGAGTGGTGAGCGGTGAGAGGGAGAGTGGGGAGTGGTGAGCGGGGAGTGGTGAGCGGGGAGAGGGGAGTGGTGAGCAGGGAGTGGCGAGCGGTGAGTGGTGAGTGGTGAGCGGGGAGTGGTGAGCGGTGAGCGGGGAGTGGTGAGCGGGGAGTGGTGAGTGGTGAGCGGGGAGCGGTGAGCGGTGAATTGTGAGCGGTGAATTGTGAGCGGCGAGTGGTGAGCGGTGAGTTGTGAGCGGTGAATTGTGAGCGGGGAGTGGTGAGCGCTGAGCGCTCGGTTTAGGGTGCTTGTGCTCGCGCTTGTCCGCTCTGTCTCAGCTGGATGCCCACTCAGGTGTGGCTGTCACACGTTTGTGTGCAGGCGGTGCCACTGCACCAACCGGGGGAGAGGGGGGGGAGGCTGCAGGCCACGGGGGGCTGGAGACGGGGCTGTAGATTGGACTGGAGGGGGCTTCATTTCATTTCGTGCCATCGTGTACATCAAGGTGCGCACACCCTCTCCCTGACTCTGTCTCTCTCTCTGGAGAGCTGAGAGGGTGAGCGCCTCCAGCGGTTTGCAGCGCTCTAAAGTGAGTGAGCTCAGCGAAAGCTCATGGCACACAGCAGCTCACGTGAGCCCCCAGAAATCACGAAACAAGTCACGATGGGTGAACCAAACATCATCTCCGATTCCAATCCTAGTACGCACACAAAGCCAATTAACGTGAAACGCTCATTCACGTCCCCCGCCGTACCTCTCCCACTATCTACACTGCATCCCTTCTGTCATTTCACTGGTAGCGTACAAGTTGTAAGGGGGGCAAAGCCCCCCCAAATGAGGGCCCTGCCCGCCCCCCCCCCCCCGCCACCCCCACTGGGCCAGCAGCACCAATGTCTGACCATCGAGGCGGCTATCCATTTGTTTTTTTTCTTTTGGGTCAGATCGCGTTAATATAAGTGTATCATTAAACCCGCCACCACCCGACACGGCCAATTAGTAAAGTTTGTCACGTAAACAAAACGTGCCGATTAGTTACTAGTCCAACGCACCGCTTTGTTGGAAAGTAAACCCACAACATTTACAATTCGAGTAACGACGTTTCGCTCGGTAATTACAACCAGCCTCATCAGGCGACAGCGAGGATTGTGGGTAATATTGGTCGCGAAAGGCTACGTGATAATAACCGTCGAAGCTACGTTCAGAAGCTCACCTGCAAGCTCAGGCAGTTGCCGTTTTCCCGCGAATGTTCAATGAGCATCTGCAGCGCGTCCTTGCACCCGTCCGTCGGGGGACTGCTCAATTTCTTCTTGATGCTCTCCTCGATTTTGCTGTGGATGACGTTTCGCGCTTTCAGCCCCTGCGGAACGATCAAGAACGGTCAGTCGGGAATTATACGTTAAAAAAAAAAAAACGTAATATTTTCATTGGCAATGAAGCGGGGAAAGTGAACGAGTTACGAGTCAACGATAAGGGAGTGGAACGATGTTCAGCATCGGTCGATTAATAGCGAGCCTCACAAAGCTTGCGATGCTGAATCGAATCGCGGGTGTGATAATTGTCGTTGTCGTTAGGCTGGCGAGCACCCCTTGCAAGCCACTAGAGGCGCTACCATTCACCGCAGGCAGTGTGAAAAACAATCGAATCGTGACCCCAAATTTTGACGATTCATCAAATGGTCAGGGAGTGAATTATTACAGCTGTAATTAAACTAATTGGCATGGTAAACTGGACTTCCACAGTAAACTGGACTCCCATGGTAAACTGGATTTCCATGGTAAACTGGACTCCCATGGTAAACTTGACGTCCACGGTAAACTGGACATCCACGGTAAACTGGACTTCCATGGAAAACTGGATTTCCATGGTGAACTGGATTTCCATGGTGAACTGGACTTCCACGGTAAACTGGACTCCCATGGTAAACTGGACTTCCACGGTAAACTGGACTTCCATGGTAAACTGGACTCCCATGGTAAACTGGACTCCCATGGTAAACTTGATGTCCACGGTAAACTGGACTTCCACGGCAAACTGGACTCCCATGGTAAACTGGACTCCCACGGTAAACTGGACTTCCACGGCAAACTGGACTTCCACGGCAAACTGGACTCCCATGGTAAACTGGACTCCCATGGTAAACTGGACTTCCACAATAAACTGGACTCCCATGGTAAACTGGACTCCCATGGTAAACTTGATGTCCACGGTAAACTGGACTTCCACGGCAAACTGGACTCCCATGGTAAACTGGACTCCCACGGTAAACTGGACTTCCACGGCAAACTGGACTTCCACGGCAAACTGGACTCCCATGGTAAACTGGACTCCCACGGTAAACTGGACTTCCACGGCAAACTGGACTTCCACGGCAAACTGGACTCCCATGGTAAACTGGACTCCCATGGTAAACTGGACTCCCATGGTAAACTTGATGTCCACGGTAAACTGGACTTCCACGGCAAACTGGACTCCCATGGTAAACTGGACTCCCACGGTAAACTGGACTTCCACGGCAAACTGGACTCCCATGGTAAACTGGACTCCCATGGTAAACTGGACTCCCATGGTAAACTGGACTCCCACGGTAAACTTGACGTCCACGGTAAACTGGACTTCCACGGTATACTGGATTCCCATGGTAAACTGGACTTCCACAATAAACTGGACTCCCATGGTAAACTGGACTTCCACGGTAAACTTGACGTCCACGGTAAACTGGACTTCCACGGTATACTGGATTCCCATGGTAAACTGGACTTCCACAATAAACTGGACTCCCATGGTAAACTGGACTTCCACGGTAAACTTGACGTCCACGGTAAACTGGACTTCCACGGTATACTGGATTCCCATGGTAAACTTGACGTCCACGGTAAACTGGACTTCCACAATAAACTGGACTCCCATGGTAAACTGGACTCCCACGGTATACTGGATTCCCATGGTAAACTTGACGTCCACGGTAAACTGGACTTCCATGGTAAACTGGATGTCCACGGTAAAATGGACGTCCACGGTAAACTGGACTCGTACGCTAAACTGGACTTCCATGACTCCGGAGCCGCAGGTTGCTCTAAACCAAGAATGGTTACGGGATCGCCACGGTTCAACGACTACAACAACCTTCTTCTTGGTTCTTTCGGTAAAGTCACGTAGAAGGAAAATAATAAATAATAAAAACGATGACGACGCCGCCGTACCCGGTAGAGGCCGCCGAAGGGCACTTCGATGGGCAGGGAGAAGAGGTTTCGGATCATCTCCTCGAAGACCCCGACGAGGGCGTGGATCTCGCCGCGCGCCATGCCGTTCACGTCGATGCCGAGCAGCAGCCGCATGGCGATGCGGAACATGAGCACCTTGACCTCGGGGTAGACAAGCACGGGGCGCGAGCGCGAGCACCAGTCCCCGAGCATCGCCGACACCTCCTCCACGATCGTGGGCACGTAGTTCTGCAGGGCCTCTCTCGAGAAGGCCTTCAGGATGACCTGGGGTGGGAGGGGAAAAAAATATTACGATCATCCACGACGTATTCTCATTCACGCATTCGCTCTGCCGCTTGTTCGGTACCTGTGGAGGGCGGTGCGGTGGGAATGGAAGGGGGGGGGGGCACGGTAACTGGCGTAAAATTGATCCGACGTGAACCAAACTGTGGACTATCCCGAGTGAAAACCAGCCAGCCTGGCCAGACACTCCAAACACGGCGAAGGCGTTTTGTCCTCCGGCAACTTATATTTACCTGCCGCCTGCATCGCTGATAATTACATCCCGCCGTGAACCGGGTAGAGTGAGAGCGAGTTGGCTTGCGAGGGATGGCGACAGCAGTGGAGATAGATCATGGCCGATGGGGAGACGGGGGGGGGGGGGGGGGTGGGGGGCACCCTCACCTTCTTGCGCATCCTGTGGGCGCCGTCGAAGGAGCTGGAGAGGCAGCCGGCGCCCAGGATGGAGCGCACCGACGTGGGCCACTGCGCCGCCACGAGCCGGTGCTCGCCCAGCAGCAGGCGCCGCACGTTCTCAGAGCCGGTGACGCGCACGGTGGGCATGCCGAAGAGGTGCGTGCGGTAGACGGGGCCGTAGCGCTGGCGCTTCATCTCCATGAAGCTGCCCCTCTGTGGACCCCCACCGGCGGACAAACGAGCGCCTCCGATCAGAACACGGCTTGGCCACGGGGCGCGCGTGCGTACAAACGAGCGCGCGAGCAAAAGGGTGACCGTCGGGCCGCGTGTGCCGCGAGCGAGCGCCTGTTGGTTGCGCCGGAGCGGGTCGCGCACGTGACGAGAAGCGGACCGCGCAAGCGAGAGGTCTTGTCGTGCCGGGTGCGTTAACATCGATTGGGGTAGGCGGAACGTGACGAGCGTAGCGATATGTGTCGAGGGGAAGGGTAGCCAGCAGCATGCCTGGCCGCCCCCCGGCCTTTGTCTCTCCGACGCTGATGTTTTATACACGCCACATCGGGGTTCTCATACGAGGCCGATCGGACCTCGGGGAGGCCCAGGACCGGTTCAGATATTCGTCGCCGATGTTGGCCGTGAGCGGGAATCGAACTCGGGCGACGGCCATGTAAACATCAACAGCAGCAGCAGCAACGTGTCACATTTAACACATTCCTGCGGAGGGAGCTGGTAGGAACGTTGGGTTGCTCGGTCAATGGCCAGGGACAACGGCGGCGTGGTGTATTCCGCAAATATGCCCGACTGTGAGGGCGGGGACAAGCCGGCGTGAATAGGTTAAACGTTGAGTTTTATAAGGACACCACGGGGTGACCAGCCCCTCCCCACCCAGCCCCACCCCACCCTCCCTTCCCCACCCAGCCCCACCCTCCCCACCCAGCCCCACCCTCCCCACCCAGCCCCACCCAGCCCCTCCCCACCCAGCCCCACTCTCCCCTCCCCACCCAGCCCCGCCCTCCCCACCCAGCCCCACCCTCCGCTCCCCACCCAGCCCCACCCTCCCCACCCAGCCCCTCCCCACCCTCCCCACCCAGCCCCTCCCCACCCTCCCAACCCAGCCCCTCCCCACCCTCCCAACCCAGCCCCTCCCTCCCCACCCAGCCCCTCCCTGCACGACGGACGGACGGACACAATAATCCCCTGTAGGCTGGTGTAACCAGGAGGTTCCTACCAGTATAAATGTGTACATTTGTCATCGTTTTAAAATGGTTGCTCCGGGAGGAAGGGCTTGTGAAGGTGAAATTTGGCACTGGTGAAGCAGAGTGCGGTTTGTCACAAGGTGCATCCCTCCACCAGAAACAACAACTAAAAATATCCCCCCCCTCCCCACCCGGATCACCACATCCAGTATACTTATAGCTTAACGGCTGTCCCTGCGAGCTCGCGAGTCGCCGTGGTCACCACCGAACGCAAGCAAAGCAAGCCCTGTGTAGAATTAGAGAAAACAAACTTCTCTGAAAACCACCTGTTGTGTCAAGTGCTGTTCGCGAGCGCCAATGCAGATCGGGCTATACACACACACACACGTAAACAAAGACAGAGACCTCCCCTATAGCCTTGGCAACCTGTTGGGACAAGTGCTGTTAGCGAGCACCAATGAAGGCCGCAACGGCACACGAGGGGGTGGGTGGCCAGCACCACGCCCGGCCGCCTTTGTCTCTCCAGTGTCGATGCTTCGCAGCAGATACTCATTTGTGGGGGGTGGGTGGGGGGCCCCAGGACCAGTTGTAGGTGATCGTCACCGGTATTGTTCGTAGCGCAGAGCGCAACCCGCTACACCAGGGGCCAGAAAGCCAAGTACCAAAGAGAGGAGACATTTTTATTCGAAAATTCGTTGAAAAACCTCAATAGATTTCAAGAGCCGCAATGCACTGCGTGGTGCAATACGACATGGCGATGGGCCTTTTCTAAATAAGCGGAACCCTGCACTACACCCTAAACAAACAAAGACACAAACACACGTAAACACACGACAAAGATCACCCCCGTTGTAGCCTGAGCCGACTGTTGGAGCAAGCGCTGTTTGCGAGCACCTATGAAGGCCGGCACGGCACACGAGGTGGCGGGTGGCACAGCAACACGCCCGGCCGCCTTTGTCTCCCTGGTGCCGATGTTTACGACACACCGCACCGGGTACTCATTTGATGCCGAGTCAACCTAGGGGAGGCCCAGGAACCGGTTCAAATAATCGTCGCCACTGGGTGTTGACCGTGAGCGAGAATCGAACCCGGGTCGCCAGGTTCGTAGCGCAGCGCGCTAACCGCTCCACCACCGCTCCCCACACTACCACACAGACTCACACGCGCGCACACACAGACACGCGCACACACACGTGGTTCGTGGTGGTAGGTGGTGGTAACGTCGTTGTCGCTCTCACCCCCAGGACGTAGTGCAGGGTCTCCCCGATCAGAGGCAGACCCATGGATCCCGGCGGCAGCGGCAGCGGGACACGAGGGGTCCCGGTCCCGCAGGCAGAACCTCTCCCACAGCTTCCACGTGGCCAGCAGCAGCAGCAGCGGCGTGAAGATCGTGATGGTCACGGTGATCGCCAGCTGAAGCAGAGCCATGGCGACGAACGTCGGACCTCGCGGTCGCGGAAGTCCGGCGTCGAGTGCTGAACGGCGTCTCTCGTTTGCGATTGCCGATGGTGACACGCTCCAGGCTGCGTCTCCCGCTCGCCGTGAATTGATCACACGCCGGCACACGTGAGCGTGGTGGGTAGCGGTAGAGGCCGGGTGGTGTGGTGCCACCCTCTCTCCCTTCCTTGTCCGAGTGATTGGTGTGAAGCTCCAAGCTCTTTTTATGCACCCCCCCCCCCCCGCCGCTTCGTCGTGGCTGGATTAGGAGGAGGGTTTTTTTGTGGTTGTGTTGGGGTTTTCTTTTTACAGGTCGCTATTACCTATCACGGCCAGATAGACTGGTTCAAGTAGAGTTCAGCGGCTCCTCAACAGCTGGGCCAGGCCCTCTGAGTAACCCCCCCCCGCCGCCCCTGACCCAGCCGACACCCGCCCCACGTGGCTTGCGCATGGTCTGGTGGCGGACACTCTCTCTTTCCATGCAAAGGTCCCTTCTGCGTATGTGTCTATGTTGGCCTATCTTCTGTGTGTGTGTGTCTATGTTGGCCTATCGTCTGTGTGTGTGTCTATGTTGTCAACTGTGTGTGTCTATGTTGCCCTCTCTTTGTGTGTGTGTGTCTGTGTTGTCAACTGTGTGTGTCTATGTTGACCTGTATGTGAGTCTGTGTTGTCCTGTGCGTGTGTCTATGTTGTCCTGTACGTGTGTCTATGTTGACCTGTGTGTGTGTCTGTGTTGCCATGTGCGTGTGTCTATGTTGACCTGTGTGTGTGTGTCTGTGTTGTCAACTGTGTGCGTCTATGTTGACCTGTGTGTGAGTCTGTGTTGCCATGTGCGTGTGTCTATGTTGTCCTGTGCGTGTGTCTATGTTGACCTGTGTGTGAGTCTGTGTTGCCATGTGTGTGTGTCTATGTTGACCTGTGCGTGAGTCTGTGTTGCCCCGTGCGTGTGTCTATGCCTTTCTCTCTTCTCTCCGTGTGTGTCCGTAGTGCGCTCCCACGTTTGCTTGTTAAACGCCTTAATCCATTTTAACATTAGGGGCGACGCGAGCCCCCATTGTGTACGCAAGAACACTTAGCCGTCGTCAATTACGGAATTAAGACGTTTGTGTTTACCCGGTCAATTGTATATAACTGACTGTTGGTCACCCACCCGCTCATTGTGCCGCGGAGAGAGAGGGGCCTTTAAATACAAACGTTCTCTCGACGTCTGTGTTGCGAGGAGGAGGAGGGAGGGGAGGGGTGGGTTAGGCGACACGTTAAGAGACAAGGAATCAAATAGCGCTCTTTTGTTGCATTCGCACTTAATTCGAGAAGTGGTCGAGTCACGGGGCCGATGGGCGCGTCGCGACCCACGGAGAGAGGAGAGCGGGGAGTGGGCCCGGGGTATCTCGTGGCTCTGTAATGCAGATTGCCGAGACAATTGTCCTGCTGCCTAATTGAGTGCCACCCTCTTCACCCAACCCAACCCACGCCACCGCTCAGCAATCTCCGCGGCGGACACGACAACAAATGCCAACTCTTGCAGTCGCTATTTAAATGCGCCGCCCCAACCTTCGATTTGCTATGCGCGCGCTGTGAAGCTGAAACTTGCGAAACGATTTTTAAATAATAGTTAGTTTTTCTTTTAACCAGGTAAGGTCCACCACCACTGAACTCTATAGCTCTTATTTTCAGAAGCGACCTGCCTGGTTATCACTAATGATAGGTCTACTACGAAGTGTCTTATCGTCGCGTGGAAATGTATAGCGGGCACAAATGCTCTAAACGCGCACGGTGATTATTATAAATGTGAAGGGGGGAAAGAAAACCGGAGGACCCGTAAAAAAAAATCCACGCAACCACGGGGGAGATAGACACCGCAGACTCCAAATACACAAGCGTCTCAGCGGTCGGGATCGAACCTACGACCTCCTGTATGGCGGGCGAGGTAGTTAACATCTCTCAACACCGTGGAGCCCACATTTGCGAGTCAGGGGCTAGGCTGCACGTGTTATGTTAAACCTGGCCGTGCACGTGTTATGTTAAACCTGGCCGTGCAGCCTGATTACGCCCGAACACGTTTGATTGGTGATTTCAGAACGGGTTTTTCACTGCCTTATTGGGGGCAATTAAAAGTTGGTGTGTAAAGAGAGATTGCGTGTCAGCGCGCGCGTTCACGCCAGCGACTATTATATTAGCAGAACATGTCCTGGGGATTCCCGTGTGTCGATTCAGTCCCCAATGAGTACCTGGTGCGGTGTGTAAACATCGCCACTGGGGAGACAAAGGCGGTCGGGCGTGGTGCTGGCCACTCACCTGCCTCGTGTACCGTGCCGGCCTTCATAGGCGCTCGCTAACAGCACTTGCGCCAACAGTGCGGTATTAACTTAAAGCTGTCGTGACTGCAGGAATTAATATTCTTTGGTCTTTTGGTAAAGTCACGTAGATAGGTTCAAAGAAAATAACAAAAACCTACGACGTTTCTATCGCAACACAAGCTGTCGTCATTAGGAGGAATGATGACGATCTCTTGTGTTGCGATCGAAACGTCGTAGTTTTTTGTTATTTTATTTGAACCTATCTACGTGTCGTTCGTCGGAGTGCGGTGTTGGTCATACTTCACCGCGATGGTCAGTGCGGTTCGCCGAAGCGGGGTTGGGGGTTGATCCAAGACCCGTCCAGATGTCACTCGCCAACCGATGTTAGCCGTGGCCGGGAATCGAACTTAAGCCCGCCGGGTTCATGAGCCGAACTGGTCCTGACAGAGGCCGCCCCAGCCAGCCTCCTCATTATTATAACGTTTCAATCTGATATGTGTATGTATGTTGAACCTCTGTCGCACCGTACATCGCTAACCGTGATAATCGGAGGTGGGGGGGGGGGGAACAGCGAACTAAACACATCAAGAAGCAGTCACACAGAAATTCGTGTTCAATCGACGTGATGTAAATGTGCATATCACCAGTTGGCTTTCTAATTTTGCTCCGTTGTGCGTTCGGCATCGCAGTTTACAGAGAGAAAAATACTCAACAATAATCAACGAGAGACGGAGATAGTGGGATGGAGGTGGAGGGGAGGGGAGGGGAAGTGGGGGGGGGGTGATGGAGAGGCCTTTGGCTGCCCTGTACAGGTGGCTCCGTTTACTGGCCCTCCACTCACCCCGTCCGTCGCGCTACCCAGCCAAGAATCGGAGTTCCCTGAGATTAAAAAAAAACTTGCCGTCGTGGCTTCTTTCACCATCGAGGTTCAACTTCGGGTCACACGGGGAAAAGGTTCAGGAGGGGAGAGAGAGAGAGAGAGCGAGAGAGAGAGAATTTGCGTGATGCGCAAGGCCGCGTTTTGATTTGCTCCCACCAGCGCTGACTGAAAAAGGGACCTTTGGTTTGTGGTATCGTAGCGCTCGTTCGCGAGCACTGAATAAATGATTACGCAATTATTATGCTTACTACACATATATACGTATATTTTTATTATATCGTCTTGTCTGTATTATAAGACGCTTCGGAAAGCAAGACGCACTCCAAAACTTGCGTCCAATTTCAATAAAGTTAATCAAATTTTGGCACGCATGACCCCCCCCCCCCCCATACACACACGCGTATGCTTTAATGCACATGACAAACAAGTGCGTCTTATAATCCGGTGAACATGGTAGATATTTTCTCGTGATGCCATGTATGCCCAGATATATCCGACACGATGGCTTTTATATACTCGGCAAATTACGCCTCCCTGAATCTCAACCACTCGTTTCCAGGTGGCTTCTGCCACGCGTGTGTGATGTGTCGTTTTGTTCAGTACCAATAAAATGAGCGTTGGTGCTTCGCGTGTGAAGGAAGGCGGAGACCTGCAGGGAGAAGCGCCCACCACGCGTGAACGAGGGGATACCAAGTGAACTTTTCGCGCAGATCGAGTCCCATGGCTCCTTCTCGGCCCCGACGGGTCTGCCAAGCTGCTTCCCAGACCCGTGCGTGCGTGACCCACCAACCCTCGCCTTCTATTCGTGTGACACGAAGTGACTTTCGTGTGATCTCAAGCGACGTCATTGCGGTGTGGATGCAATAGTTGTGGCGAGATGTTTACTACCTCGCCCGGTATACAGGAGGTCGTGGGTTCGTTCCCGACCCTGACGCCTGTATATTAGGAGTTTGCGTGTATCTTTCTCTCCGTGGTCGCGTGGATTTTTCTCCGGCTTCTCCAGTTTTCCCCTCCACATTTAGAATCAACGTGCGTTTAAAGGAGTTGGCTGCTCGACATTTTCACATGATAAGCGACTCGGTTGAGCTATCATTTGTGGCCAGGTCGCTTCTAAAATAGACCTTCTGTATATAGCTCGGTGAGCCTTACGTTGTAACATAAAAACAAATATATAGTTTAATCTGGTGTAGTATGTATACATAGACCTGACTTACAACCGATTTCATTGTTAGAAGAAAACTTTAATAACATTTCACTTGGTAGGAATGAACTTCATTGTATCTGGTTGATTGCAATCTATTCATGCGTTGCTTTTGAAACTCACTGTAAAATATATCGTCGCATTGCGAGGTGTTTTGCCATGGTCAATCCACTGCTGTATGGACTCTTCACAAGCCACCACCGACTCTGTAATGTAGCAATCCACCGAGCACATTGATTTCATCGCTCCATCTCCTCCGTACACGTGCTCTCGAACGCATTGTATTCATTGACTGCCACTCTATTATTAGTATTATTATTCTTGACTGCAGGCCATATTTAACAACGTGCAATTATGGGTTTGTTTACAATTTGTACTCAGTAGGTGTGCGTGTGTGTGTGTGGTCACGGGGTTAGGAACGCCACGTCCCGATTTTGATTTCCTGCCAAGGATAACGAACATAGGTGGCCATCATCTGAACCGGTCCCCTGCCTATCTCTAGGTCGATTCGGCCTCAAATGAGCACCTCGTGCACTGTGTAAATGTCAGAACTGGGAAGACAAAGGCGGCCAGGCGTGGTGTTAACCACACCAACCTCGCATATGCCGTGCCGGCTTTCATGGCTGCTCGTTAACAGCACTTTCCCTCTT